TCTCCTATCTTGTTTTACGGCGCTGATTTCCGGGCAGCGTGATAGCGCGTCTGCCACGCGATTCTGAACCCCCCGGCGGTATTTGATATCGAATTCGTATTGCTGCAACTCGAATACCCAGCGTCCGAGTCGTCCGGTCGGTGATTCTAATTTTTGCAGCCATTTCAAGGCCTGATGATCGGTTATTACGATAAAGGCATAGCCTTCTAGATAACTTTTCATCCGCCGGATTCCCCTGACGATCGCTAAGCATACGGCTCGCATACGCTATAACCCTTTCTCCGTCCTCATGTTGCTGCGTCAGCACTGCGCTAAGACCGGAGGTGCTTGCGTCGGTTTGCAGTACGAAACGCTTTTTAAAATCCGGACAGGCTAACACTGGAGCGGAGACCAATTTTTCTTTTAATGAGCGGAAGGCTTTTACTTGCTCTTCACCCCACGCCCAGCGCGCGTTCTTTTTCGTCAGTCGTATTAGCGGCGCGACTATTTCGGAGAAACCCGCGATAAACCGCCGGTACCAAGAAGCTATCCCGATAAACTGTCGGATTTGTTTGACTGTCCGCGGTTCTGGCCAGTTAGCTACTGCGCTCACCTTCTTGGGGTCTGTTCGGATCCCTTCCCTGTCGATGATGTGCCCCAGGTATTTTAGTTTATCCACGCAGAATTTGCACTTGTCAGGGTTCAGCCGTAATTTAGCGTTTCGAAGGCGGCGGAAGGTCTTGGCGAGCAACTCGAGATGTTCGTGAAACGTTTTGCTAATTATGATAATGTCATCTAAATAGACGAATACGTGCGGTTCTAAATCCGGCCCGAGGACTGTATCTAACAATCTTTGGAATGTAGCCGGTGCCGAATGCAACCCGAACGGCATAACTGTAAACTGATACAGTCCCTTCCCTGGAATCGTGAACACGGTCAATGGTCGGCTTTCCTGTGCGAGTGGAACCTGCCAATATCCACTTTTTAAGTCGAGCGTGGATAGATAACGCGCTTCTCTTAATTTATCTAGCGTCGCGGTAATTTGTGGTAAGGGGTATGCGTTCTTCTGAGTTACGTCGTTTAATCGCCGGAAATCAATGCAAAATCTATGTTTGCCATCCTTTTTCTTAACTATCACGATGGGCGAGCTCCATGGACTGTATGACGGTTCAATTACGCCTTGTTCGAGCATTTCGTCCACTTCTTTATTAATAATTGTTTGCATGGCTGGATTGCGTGGTCGGTATCTTTGTTTGATGGGCGTGTCATCCTTTAGGTATATGTGATGCTCCATTTTGCTGGTTGGTCCGCGGATATTTTCGAATTGCTGTAATTCTTGCTTTAGGAACTCTTGCAGTTGCTTCTCCTCGTCCGGAGTCTGCACGGCCAGTCCTCCAATTGTATTGCATCTTGGAAGCCATTTCCTGATGTATTTTGGTGGTGGTGGAATTCCCAGGTGAAGTCGGTATTGCAAATCGATTCCTATCATTTTATCCTCCATATGTGGGAGGATAAAAAAGTTATGCGTAATTGTTCGGTTGCCCATTCGCAGAGGCAGGGTCATGTATCCGAATGTTTCCCCCGTGCTGCCGTTTGCCAGATATACCGCCTCCCTTTTTTCCTTTATTTCGATTATTTTCCTTTTTCCCTTATTAATCCCTCTGTACTCAGATCCTTGGACGTGTCTTCGTTAATTAATGAGATCTCCGATCCTCCATCTAACAAGGCGTTATAACTCCGTCCTTGAATGTATATCTTTATGTGCGGTCGCGGTGTGAAAGTTATACGGGGCTCGGGATTGTATTTGCGACCGCCTCTTCCCCGGAGGCTTTTCCCGCCCTCGGGTGACAATCCTTCGTCAGGACTCCATCCTTACCACATTGTGAGCAAAATTTTTTAATCTGCCTTCGGCACTGCGCGCGCGTGCGCCCTCTTTGCTTGCACCGCCAGCAGCAATCTTTTTTATTATATACCGCTGATATTGACGGTACCGCGGTGTCTTTCTCCCGTTTCGCTGCTTCTTTTTCCTCCTGTAGAATGTCCTTAAACTCCGCGGCTCGCGACTGTGACTCCGCAATACTCCGCACGTCATCGATTCTTACGTAGTGCTTATACGCTGCGTTCATATTTTCGTAGATCATATCGAGTTGCTCGTCTCGCGAGTACCCCCCGGCCCGACGCATCAGTGTCATCATTACCGTGACGTACTGTGCAAATTTTTCTGTCGACTGTTGATGTCGCCCCATAATCTCCCGACGCAGTGTGGCCATGTAACGCCGCGATAGGAATTGCCCTCGAAAATCACACTCAAAATCGTCGCATGTCTCCCAAGAATCTCGGTAATTTCTACACCATAATAAGCTATCTCCCTTTAATAATTCTGGAAGCCCTTTTAATAGTTGTGCCGGTGTGAACCCGTATGCGTCTCTCAATTCCCCCACCCTTTCAAGGAATGGGGCGGGGTCCCGGCCGTCGAAATGACATCCCCATTTCCGTATTTGATCGATGGTTTTTCCATCATATTGGAACGCCATATCCGTTGCAGTGGGTGTTCTGAATTCTAAATTCGTCGGCGTAGGAACTGTTAAGCGGAGTATCACCCCCTGCGCGTCTACTTCCCCCGTGTACGTCTCAAATGCGTCTATTTGTTCGGGATGTTCTTCCGCGAACCGGCTTATTCGTTTGCGGAGTTCCTCCAACGTACCCGCGTCTTCGATATTTAGAGCTTTAGCCATTGCGATTAATGGATCTTTATTCAATCTGTACAACCACGCCTTCATTTTTCACGCTTGCACGCTCTCTACGTGTTTCGGTTTTTAAAACTGTTCGGGCGCCAATGTCACGGGCGAATTCCGTGTGAAATCGCCGTCGGATAGTCGGAGTCGGAATCAGGATTCGTCTGATTGATATAATGAGAGCGAGAGCGTGTATGTGTAAAAAAAAAGATGTTTATTGTATAGACAGATATAATACAGAGTGTGTGGGCGTGTATGTGTGTATAAATGTGTGTGTGTGTGTGCAAGTGAGCGTGTGTCTTTTGATCGAGCGAAGTGTGTGCTGAGATCGAGTTTTAACGGCACGCGGGGCGGCGCTTGCAGATTGCACCCCGGCGGTATTTGAGTCGCACGAATCTTATTCGGATATATTTTCGTAATAGCTCGGTATCGCGTCGTATAATTGCAGCAGTTGTTCTTGAGAGTGTGATAATGCGTTATTCGCTTATAATATTTCGCACGGAGCGCGTGTTTATGTTTGGGCGCGGTGAATGACCGGTATCGGTGTGCGTCGCGTTTTTCTATGCGCGCGTGTCTGGCGGTAAGTCTAGACGCGTTTTTGTAAACGTGCGTGTTTCTTCGCGTATTTCTTTCGCTGGTGTTTCTGCGAATTGCAAGACAAATTCGGCGTACGCGTCTTTCGCCGAATCGTAAACGGAATCTCCGGTATTGAAGGAAAGTTTCTAGGAAGCGTTGTGCCGGCAAGAAATACTCGTCCGAGGCAGTTCTCCTCTCTGCCTCGAGATATCTTGCACAACGCTAGGCGGTCGGATGCTGGACCGTTTTACCGAGATCTCTCGGCCGAACCGGAGTGCGCTTGGATTCGTTTTGCGGTCGGAAAAAGCGGCTGGATGAAATGCCGGATTAAAATCGAGAGTTCTCGATAGAGGAAGAGTGCTCTCTACCTCTGGTTTTAATTTCGGCTTTGCTAGGAGCGATCTAGGATTGCGAGACGTTTCACTTGCGTGATCGGAATCGGAAAAGGTGATTAGATTGCCGAATATGCCCTTTTTATACCGGCTAATTACCCGCGCGTCGGCGCGCGGCGGATTTATCCCTTCCGAACGGGTTTCGGGAAAACGGTACGGTCGAGCCCGTTCGGAGGGATTCGGGTGTCGCGCCGAACGCGGGCTTTCGCCGGTCGGTGGTTCGGGGCGCCTCGGTAATCTCCGGTGTTTTTCGGCTCGGCAATTAACGGCCTAACGCCGTTCGAGTTTTTTGAAACGTTTAAAATTGTGGGACTTCCGCTTGGAGCATTGTTGAGTGAAGACGTGCGTGACAAAGCTCCGGTTAATATTGTGGCGACGTAGTTGGTGCCTCCGGTGCTTGGGCTGCCTCCAGCCGACGAAACTGCCTGCTCCAGCGGGGCTTGCTCCCCGTTGTTTATCTCGGCGCTCGACTTGGACCACAACTCCGAATATTCGCCTTTCTTGTGTGTGAGGCCTGGCGCCTCGGCGCTTGGCCATTTTGGTCGATTGGTCGACCGGCCACGTGGCGGATCTCTCAAGGGACACGGTCAGTACTCCGTTATCCATGCCTATCCAAAACCTACCTAATATTGTGACTAACGTTTCTAATGTTTCTGTTTTTGATTTTGACAAGGATAATAACATATTATCTAATTCCAACGTAGCCACCCTCTCCGACGAGGATAGGCTGAATGCCATTGCCCTTACCTTCCCCCCCTTTCCCCATCCTTGGATCCTGCTCTCGACCATGTATCTAATCCTATTTTAAATTCTAATCCTTCTACGTCTATTTCGCAGCGAATCTCGGAGGGAATGCTCTGCTCCGGCAGCTAAGCTTGCAACGGAAAATAAAAAAGACCAGCCTTCTGGTGCGTCGGATAAAGAACTTGTGAAACATAAGAACAAAAGAAAAAAGGAGTGTAAACCCACTTCATCAGTGAGTAAACGCCAGGTGCTGGGTGAGGGAGATAGCCTCTTCGATCAAGGTAGGACCGACCACGCTTCCTCTCTCTCTTCAAGTAGGGACGCTGCCTTGGAAGGTTCTCAGTGTTGTGGATTAGGCTTAAGGAGTACGCACAACAAGAGACGGAATAGACGGTTATACGTACGTGTAAGGATATACCATATAATTAAAGTCTTTATAAACTATCAGTTGTATTCCTTCCCAGCCTGATTGTGAATTCATTTAAACCCACACATAACATGGTGACAGCGGTGTAAATTGAAGAACAGACATAGAAAAGAGAAAGAAAACGAACTAACCTAAAAAATAATCATAATGGAAACAATTACAATGGGATCGTTAACATCATTGTGCACGGCTGGTGATATGGCAATTAATTGGAGAAAATTTAAGAGACAGTTTCTTACATTTGTCAATGCTTATTACGAGGAGGCAACGGAAAGTAGAAAAGTAGCCATATTACTACATTCGGCGGGGGAGGATGCTGCGGAAGTGTTTGAATCTTTTCAACTAAATGACGAAGATAAAAAGAAGCTAGAGATAGTACTGAGAAAATTCGATGAACATTATGTACCAGCAACAAATGTGACATATCAACGATATCTATTGTTCAATCGACGGCAAGAAGAAGGGGAAGCATATGAACATTATATGACTGCTTTGAAAAATATAAGTCTAACATGTGAATTAAGAGAATTAAGAGACAGTTTAGTTAAAGATGCATTCATCAGTGGAATACGAGACAAGAAGATCCAAGAAAAACTACTCAATACGATTGATATTGATATTAACAGAGCTCTTCAGATTTGTCGAACACATGTGACAGTAGCTGGTCAAGTTCAAAATATCAAAACTTTAGATGATAAAGAAGAGGCAAGCCTGGCAATCAAACAAGAAGCAAATATAGAAGTGCTAAAGAAGAGTAAAGGAAGAGATACAGGGGAGACCAGAATTGATAAGAAAAACAAGTCAAGAGGTAATATCAATCAACAAAAGAAGATCGAGTGCAAATACTGTGGCTACAAACATTGGTATGGAAGATGTCCAGCGTTTGGAAAAGAATGCTCAAAATGTAACAAGCGTAATCACTTTGCTAAAGTGTGCCAAGCAGAGAAGAAGAGACCGGTGGATACTATAGAAGAAAGAAATTTGGAGGGAGACGAAGACGTAGAGTACATGGTCGAGGAGCTTCAAGTCTCAGCTGTTTGCGATACAAAACAAAGCTCCAAGGAGTGGTATATTGTAAGTTTATTAGTTAAAGGACAAAAAGTAGAATTTAAATGCGATTCTGGTGCGCAGGTTAATGTCTTAAGTCTCAAACAATGTATACAGCTAGGTATTAATCCTAAAAAACTGGTAAAAACAAAGTCAGTAATTACGTCTTTTACTAAAAATAGACTACCGGTTGTGGGCAAATGTAACGTACCGTGTAGATATAAGAATATTGATTGTCTGGTTGAATTTTACGTAGTGGATATTGACTGTTTTAATATTCTAGGCCTAAATACTAGCGAACAGTTAGGATTCATTGTCAGAGTGGAGACAGTGTCAAAGGATGGAGATTGCTGGGTTCCTGCGGAATATAAGGAGCTGTTTGATGGTCAGGTGGGACATATACCGACAGAAGTCACAATTAAAGTAGATCCCAAAGTGGCACCGATAGTATTACCAGCGCGAAGAATTCCATACGCATTACGACCCCATGTAAAGGCAGAGTTAGATAGAATGCAAAAAATGGGTATTATTGAACCAATTACCGAACCTACGGATTGGGTTAGTCAGATGGTTATAGTAAGTAAAAAAGATGGAGATTTGAGAATTTGTCTGAACCCTCAACCGTTAAATAAAGCTATTAAGAGGGAACATTATATGTTTCCTATTATGGACGAAATTGCAGCTAAACTGGTGGGAGCTAAATATTTTTGTAAGTTAGATGCACAATCGGGATTTTGGATGATACCACTTGATAAGAATAGTTCTAAATTATGTACGTTTCAAACAGCTTGGGGAAGATATGCTTTTAAGAGGCTACCTTTTGGATTAAATTGTGCTCCAGAAATTTTTCATAGAATTATTTCACAAACTTTTGAAAATATTGAGAAGGTGGTTTCTTTTCAGGATGATATTCTACTGTGGGCAAGTACAAAAAAAGAACTGCATAGTGTTCTAATTAAAGTATTACAAGCAGCCAGAGCACAAGGCATAAAGTTTAATCCAAAAAAGTGTATTTTCGGTACAGAAACGATTAGTTTTTTAGGTCATAAATTTTGTCATAAAGGAATGTCGGTGAGTCAAGAAAAGACCAAAGCAATTAAAGAAATGAAAGATCCCACAAATAAACAATCACTTCACAAAGAGCCCTGGGAATGTTTAATTATATGTCAAAATTTATTCCAAATTACTCAGCAATTTGTGCCCCTTTAAGAGATTTGTTAAAAATAGATAATGAATTTGTATGGACTGATAGTTAAAGGAAGGCATTTCAGTTATTAAAAAAACTAATTACTCAAGCCTCAGTGTTAGGATACTATGATCCTAATAAAAAGTTAACGTTAAGTGTAGATGCAAGTTCGATAGAATTGGGGGCTACATTAATTCAAGAGGGTCAGCCTATTGCATATGCATCACGAGCATTAACCGAAGTACAAACAAGATATTCCGAAGTACAAACAAGATATTCACAAATAGAAAAGGAATTATTGGCAATATGCTTTGGGGTTGAGAGATTCAGACAATATATCTGGGGACGAGATGCAATACTAGTGGAAACGGATCACAAACCTTTAGTAGGAATTTTCAATAAGCCATTATACAAAGTTCCAACGCGATTACAAAGAATGATGTTAAGACTTCAACCGTTTCGTCTGACCATTAAACATGTTCCAGGCAAATATATGTACATTGCGGATACATTGTCCAGAGATTTTTCAAGAACTAGTTGTGATAGTAGTGATAGTCAAAAGGACTTTGATGAAGACATAGAAAAGCAAATAGCAATGCTAATTGAAAATATACCGGTAACAAAGGATAATTGGAAACTAATTTCACAAGGTTATCTAGAGGATTCGTTATTAACAAAAGTAAAACAATACATTTTGAAAGGATGGCCTACAAATTATAAAGAGATTGAGGAGAAGGTGAAACCGTTTTTTGAATTCAAAGAGGAGTTAGTGGTCATTAAAGAAATAATCTTTAGAGGGGATAGGATTTTAATTCCAACAGCCTTAAAAAAATACATGCTGACTAAGCTGCACACAGGTCATCCTGGCATAAATAGAATGATCAAAAGAGCTGAAATGACGATGTATTGGAAAGGAATAAATCAGGACATAAAAAAATATGTGAAGTCGTGCAAAAGTTGTCAGAAATTTCAAAATGGTCAAATTAAACAAATAATGAGATACAAAAAGGTTCCAAAGTTGCCATGGGCAGAGGTAGGCTGTGATATATTTGAGTTAAATCAGAAATACTATATAGTAGTAGTGGACTCATTATCAAATTTTATTGAGGTAGTATCGTTAAGTGATTTGAAAAGTTCTACAGTCATTGAGAAATTAAAGACAATTTTTGCTAGACATGGCATACCGTTGATACTATACACGGACGGAGCGTTATGCTTTGATTCTGAACTGTTTAAACGATTTACAAAAAATTGGAGTTTTACCCATATTATGTCTAGTCCTCATTATCCAAAATCTAATGGATTAGCAGAAAGTGCGGTTAAATCAATAAAGAAACTATTTAAAAAAGCATTCGATGCTGGAGAGGATCCTTATTTGGCTCTGTTAAATTTAAGAAATACGCCTCGCGATAAAGTCCATTTTCCTGCTTCGCTTCTAATGGGTAGAAATTTACGAACCAACATTCCGTGCTCATTCAAAATGTTAATTCCTAAAATAACGTATAAGAAGGATCAAATAATATTAAAGCAAAATAAAATGTTATCAAAACAGTATTATGACAAAACAGCTAGAAAAGAGACTAAGTTCAAAGTTGGAGAACCAATATTATTTCAAAAAATGCCCAAAGCAACATGGACTCCAGGAACAGTCCAAGCAATTGGATCCACTCCAAGATCATATGTAGTTCAAGGTGAGAAAGGAGGAGTATATAATAGAAATAACATTCACATAAATTCAAGAGAAAAGTTATCTGATAAAAATGAAACGGAAGTGTCAGTACAGAGAACGGGTGATATTGAGAATGCAAGTAATAACTCAGTTGATGGAAAAGAAAAGATCAGATCTAATGGGAGTAAGCAGGAAGGTTCACAGTATGTAACAAGGGCTGGACGCACAGTTAAAAAACCAGAAAAATTTAAAGATTATTTATATATGAAATAGAAATAAGAATACAGTAATAATCGATAACGTTAATAACTCTCACAATAGAATTAAGTTATAATGTAAAAAAAAAAAAAAAAAAAAAAAAAATTAATTATAATGTAGGCAAATATGTGATCTATCTGTAAGTTATGAATAAGTACTACTTTGTTTAGTTTGTATGGCAAGATGCAATTAAAAGGGGAGATGTTGTGGATTAGGCTTAAGGAGTACGCACAACAAGAGACGGAATAGACGGTTATACGTACGTGTAAGGATATACTATATAATTAAAGTCTTTATAAACTATCAGTTGTATTCCTTCCCAGCCTGATTGTGAATTCATTTAAACCCACACATAACACTCAGAATTCCTCCCCGCATGATATTAATTGTTATGATTCAAGGTCTCTGGGCCCTTTTGATGTCATCATCCAGAAGAATAGCCTCAATAATAATAATAATAACAATAATGACTTTAATAATAGCACTAATAATAACAATATCACTAGTGACAACAACAATAACTCAAGGCCTTCTGCCATCGATCCTTTAGCAATTGGTCGATTTCTTTTTTCTCAAAATAAAAGTGACATCCTTGAATTAAAGAGAACGGGTTTTTCTAAAATAAACATTCGCTGCAAAACATCGCATGCGGCCAATTCTCTTGTGTCGAGTCAAGTTTTGAAGGACAAAGGCTACTCTGTATACATTCCGATGTATAGAACAACTCGCAGAGGCATTATTCGGGGTGTCTCTCTCGACCTTTCGGAGAGTGAAATTCTTGACGGCTTGGAATCGGATGTTGACGTCACTTCGGTCCAGAGACTCAGCAAACGCATGAGGCCCCCCCTGCCTCTGCTCCTTCGTCTCAGGCTCAAATAAACGCTGACAATAACAACTTATTTGCACCGTCTCGCTCTATTTCAATCACCTTCAAAGACCAGACTTTGCCAAATTCTATCAGCCTCTATATGATTAGGTATCCGGTCGCTCCGTTTATTTCAAAGACTTTTTTCTGTTACAAGTGCTTCCGTTTTGGCCATATCGGTGCACAATGCAAGGGTCGTGCTCGATGCATTGATTGCGGCGGCGCGAGACATGGGGGCGAGGGGGTTTGCCCCGGGAGGGGTGCACCCCGGTTTGTATTAACTGCGGAGGACCGCACAAAGCATCTAATCTGTCTTGCCCGGAATACTTGGTTCAGAGGAGAATCAGAGAGCTTTCGGCGCGTGAAAACATCCCTTTTACGGAGGCGGGCGGGGGCTTCGGGAAGGGGCCCGGCCCCGCCGGCCCGGGGGGGACTTCCCCCGGCTTCCGGGATCTCCTCCCCGGGGGGGTTCGCTTTCCGCGCCCCCGGGGCCGCCCTGGTTATTCTCCGACGTACTGTCCTCCGCGCGGGCGGGTTTCGGCGGACCGCCTGCGGATTTTGCAGGCTCTCGCCCGCTCTCCCCGGACCCTGCTCGCCTTGGCGGGCCGGTCGGTCCCGGTCTCGGTCCCTTCGATCCTGGGGGATCTTCTGGGGGGTTCGGGCGGGGGTCGGGGGTGCGGGGCGGGGAGCGCCCCGAAAACAGTAACAAAACAAGTAAGGTAGACACCGTGAGCTCGTTTAATTTTAGCTTTAGACCGAGTAGTGGAGCCAGTGATTTTTCGGCGCCGCCCGCTCGCCCGCCGACCGGGAGGGTTCCTCCCTCGGGGGATGGTCCTCCTGCCTTCCGCGCCTCTCCCCCTCTGTTCTTCCCGAATGGTAGAGTCCCTTCCGCTTCCGGGGACGGGGTGGCTCTGGGGGCGCCCTCCGCTGTACCGCCTTTATTCCTGCTGTTGGGCAGTTTTCTGGGGCTTGACTCTGCACAGCTCGAATGTATTAAACAGTTGATCAACACGCTAATAAACAAACTGGAACCTGTATTGAAAGTTTGCGGCCTCTGGGATGTGATGCTCGATTTTGTTGGCAGATTTCTGTTGACTCCACGAGCCGACTTGGCTGGGGGGAAACTTCCTCGAGATGACTAGCCCGCTATCAACGGACCATCTAGCCTCGGAACCCCTAGCTATCCTTCAGTGGAACTGCCACTCAATCTTAAGTAAACTTGACGCTTCCCTATCGCTTTTCAGGGAATATGACATTGTAGTGCTCTCTGAAACTTGGTTGACATCAGACTCTCGTTTTAATTTATTTAATTTTAATGTCTTTCGCAGGGACTCAGACACCAGACAGGGAGGTGGATTGGCTCTGGCGATTCGCCCAACTTTATCTTACTCTTATATCAATGACTCCTTCATTCTCGAAGGTAGATTTATTTCTCAAACCATCTCCGTTCACTATTCTAACTTTGACTTGACCATAATCTCGGTCTACAGATACCCCTCTAGCTCTCTTTCTGCCGAGGAGTATGATGCCTTGTTTTCCTTCTGTTGCTCCTTCTCGCATGTCATTTTGTTAGGCGACTTCAACGCACATCATGGTGAATGAAGTGGGGGACCGGCGGATACTGAGGGCGAGCGTCTTTTCACCTCGGCCATGGAGGCTTCTTTTACTTGCCTCAACGACGGTTCGTCAACATTTATGACGCGCCCGGGCCAGAGATTATCGGCCATTGATCTAACCTTCATCTCACCTTCGATCATAGGCCTATGCGATTGGACCGTGCTTGGCGACACTTATTTCAGTGACCATTTTCCGACTGCCACTCTATTTAATCGTCCTCCGAACAGAAAATCTTTCTTCTCACACAGAGTTAAACACTCCAAGGCATTGGACGAGCGATTTGTCGAAAACTTACACTCTTCTTTTGATTCACTTAGGGTGGCTCTCGGCGACTCGTCGCTGGACAATAAGCCCTGCCAATAAGTACACAGTTTTTACCGATCACCTCCTTCGTCAGTGGCCGTCTCCTTCTGAAAGGTCAAATCCGCCCAGTAAATCTTTCGCTAAAACAAAAGCGAAAAAGAAAAGATTTTCACCTCCGTCTCCGTGGTGGAATGAGGCTTGCCAGCGGGCCGTCGATTCTAGGCGCTCTCTTCTCTCTCTTTTTAAGGCGCATCCATCCTTCCAAAACTACCTCGCCTTCAAAAAGCAGGAGGCGATCACTAAGAAAACTTTGAAAGCCGAAAAGAGAAAGGGATGGAGGGAGTTTTGTGGCAAGCTCGGCCCCAGGACGCCGATTTCTCATCTCTGGAAATTCGTCAAGCGATTCAGGTCTCGACACTTTGAATTCAGGACCTTGTACTCATCCAATGCCTTCCATTCACCACCGGTTTGCAATACTATCAGCTCCCTCTGCCCTCCTTTTGTCTTTGACCGAATTTACTCTTCTCTCAACGACTTTTCACACAATTATTCCTGCAAAATTTTTGATGACCCGTTCTCAATCCAAGAAATAACTTCAGTAATACGCAACCTAAAAATCGGTTCTTCTCCGGGCTTTGACAAAATAGATAACAAAATGATCTCCTTATTACCAATAGAATACCTCCAATCCCTACTCGATATCTTTAATTCCATATTCGATTCAGGCTCCTTTCCGAGTACCTGGCGTCATTCCCTTGTTTTTCTTATCCCTAAATCATCACCCGGCAAACTTCCCGACCAATTTCATTAACTTCATGTCTACTCAAACTTTTCGAAAGAATTATTCTGTATCGCTTGGCATGGTGGGTTGAATCGTCACTTATTCTCCCTCCTTTTCAATTCGGATTTCGTAAGAGAGCCTCATGCCTCGACAACCTTGGCATATTATGCACAGAAATCCATCGAGGATTCATTTCCAAACACGCGACATGTGCTCTATTCCTCGATGTTCAGGGGGCGTTTGACAATATAGTCCCTGCTATTTTGGTGTCTCACCTAATCGACTTGGGCCTTCCGCCTAAATTTTGCTGGTTTGTGTTTCAGCTGATTTGTTTCAGAGAGCTGCAGTTCGTGATCGACGGAAGTTTGACGGAGCGACTCTATTCGTACAAGGGGATTCCGCAGGGGTCCATCTTGAGCCCGATTCTTTTCAATATTTATCTGGCCAAATGTGGGTCGGCCCTGACTCGACACTGCAATATAGTCCAGTTCGCCGACGACATAGCCTTGTTTGTCCGTTCGGAAGACATTGCGTCTTCCTTACTGACTCTTCAGCAGTCTGCGGAGGCGCTCTCAGATTTTTTACGGGAAAGGGGGCTAAACGTGTCTCCTTCCAAATCTTCCCTAATGATATTCACCAATAAAAGAAGTGTTCCGGCGAATAGTTCGATTCATCTCGGAGACTACGAGATCCGTCCGGTCCCATCCGCCAGATTTCTGGGAGTGCTGCTTGACGCGCGCCTCACCGGGGCTCTCAATGCCAAACTAATTATCAATAGATGCAATAAACTTTCTAACATTATTAAATTCCTAAGGGGAGTCTGGTGGGGATCCGACCAGCGAACCTTGCTTGGCATTTATAAGGCTCTAATCAGAGGGACTACGAACTACGCCGCCTTCCTCTTTCCGCATCACAACGGGGCTTTGGCGGAGAGGCTCGAGAGGGTGTCCCGCAGAGCCCTGAGGCACTGTATTGGTCTGAGGAACTCCACTCCCTGCAATATCGTGTACGCTGAGTCGGCTGTTGGTCCGGCCCGATTCAGGTCCAACTATTTAGCTCAAAAACTTCTAATCAAATCCCTGGCCAGCAGGCCAAGTCCCCTGATTGGTAAATTGGAGGATCTGCATGCTGACCACTTTGGATCTGGTTTCCGCACTGACCTCCTGGGCAAGTTCCCGTTGTATCGCGCCTTCCGAGCCGTAAAGGACTACAAACACAGAATTGCAACTTTCACGAGGATACCGTTGTACTTGTTCTCCTATGAAACTTCGACTTTCGTTCCGGAAGTCGACTTCACACCATCCTCGGTCGTGGATGACATCAGATCTGCTTCAATTCCGCAGCTTGTCTTTCATTCGCACTTTCAGGACATTATCGTGAATAGATGCTCATTCTTCACAGATGCATCCAAATCTGAAGCGCTCCCGCACTTAGGCGCAGCTTATTATTCTCCTGATATTCAGATACAGCGAAAATATAAGCTCAATAGCTTCTTTTCAATCTTTTCCGCTGAATGCATTGCTATAATCTACGCTATGGATTGCATCTTGGAAAGAGCCATCAAAAAATCCGCGATATTTACTGATGCCCGCAATGTCGTAGAGACTCTATCAAACAACTCCCAGGATAGAGACCTCTCTTATCTAATTTTCGTTCTGAAAAACAAGCTGAGGTCTGCTTTCTTGCAGAATCTCGATGTCATCATAGTCTGGGTTTCTTCTCATGTAGGAATTTTAGGGAACGAAACGGCGGACTTCCTCGCGGGAGAGGCTGCGAGAGAGGGCGGGGCGACAAACTATCTCCCTCCCCACTCTGACTTTTATGCCATAGCCAAAGAGAAATATTTTTCAGTAACCAAAAAATACCTGTCAGCTCGATCGGAAATCAAGGGTACGCAATATTTTAATCTTTATCCGACGTTTGCGAGAAGGCCCTGGTTTGATGGGTTTGATCTCGATAGAGCAGAAATTGCCACCATTAGCAGAATCAGATCTAACCATTATAACTTGAATTACAGCCTCCATAGATGTGGTCTCGTCCCTCACCCCCGGTGTCATTGTGGATTGTCTCGCCAGGACATTAACCACATCCTGTGGTCCTGCCCATTGTATGAGTGCCACCGCGCCCCTATGTTGCAGTCTCTACGTGAAACTGAAGTCGCCTCCTCCCTACGACGTGTTTGTCCTGTTGAAGAATCCTTCTATCCGGGTCATCAACCCCGTCCTTGCCTTCCTTCGCAGGACTGACCTGCATCCGTGACCCCTGTGACTGGTCGTTGGCTGCCTTTTTTCGAGATCTAGTGAATTGGCAGCATACTTTTTGGAATTTTAAAACCAGCGATGCTATCTGGCAGCATGGGCGGAGCTATTTGAGCCCAGTGCCACCAACTGAAGAAGAAGAAGAAGAAGTTTAAAATTGTGGGCGCACCGCGCCCCTGCCCTTGCCCGGCGGGTGTTCTGCCGGGCGGCAGCTTCCGGCGGATCGCATGCCGGGAATAACGATGCGTTTTAGGGGGTGCACGGGGTGCATCGTTACAAAATATTCATAATTCTCTTAAATAATGTTCCGATGAACTTAGAATTTACGTGTAACATATTGATTTAAATATATATAATTTGTTTTTTTTTAATGTATAATTTATATTGCATAATTCTACTTTGAAAACTGAAAAGGACAAATACCGTTAAGATCAATAATATATAATATATATATATATACAGTGACCGGCAAAAATAAAAAGCCACCTTAACTATAAAACTGATTTGATGCTAAAAGGTAAAAAAAATTCATTATAAAGTTTTTTATAACTAAAACTGAAAATTTATTAAGTAATTTAATGTTTTTAATTAAAAAGAAATCATTTTTTATTTAATACTGTATTTATTTCTATATAATCATTTATTTAAGAGTGACAAAATAAAAAAGCCAGTTAAGGTAACATAGTATTATGATTTAAAAAAACAACAATATTATTTTAATTAATAATTAATATGATTTCCTTTAGCCTCAATTACTTTTTGCAGTCTTTTTGGTATACTTTCAATTAAATTTTTTAAATGTTGTGGATCCAAATTCTCCCAGGCTAGTTGTAATGCTTCAAAATAAGAATTCTTGTTAATTACTCCGTTTTTATTAATCCTATTATCCAAAATTGCCCAGAAATTTTCGATAGGGTTTAAATCTGGAGATTGCGGAGGCCATTCAAGTTGTTTAATTCGGCAGGAACGAAAAAAAGCTTGACTTTTCTTTGCTGTGTGTTTCGAGTCATTATCTTGTTGGAAAATGAAATTATCTTCTAGTCCGAGTTTCAACAAACACTCCTCCAAATTTTCATTTATTATATCAATGTAGACATCTGCTGTCATAATTCCGTTAATTTTGACAAGATTTCCCACTCCTGCCCATGAGAAACATCCCCAGACTAAAATATTTCCTCCGCCATACTTTACAGTTTTCTGAATATGACGATCTTGAAGCTCTTCGCCGTGTTTTCTCCAGACTCTAATCCGCTTCTTTTGTCCAAATAACTCGAATTTGCTTTCATCTGTCCATAAAATATTTTTCCAGAAGTCCAATGACATATTTGCATACTTCCGAGCAAATTGCAAACGTTTTTTCTTATTGGTGACGCTAAAGAAAGGTCGTTTACGTGCAAACCGGCTGTGTAAATTTGCTTCATTGAGTCTTCGACGTACAGTGCGGTCAGAAACAGTAAGATAAATGTTTTCCTGAATTTCTCTAACAGTAATCTTTGGATTTTTCTTAACTTCACGGATTATTTTCATATCCTCCCGCTTGGATGTTGCTCGTTTTCGACCTCTTCCGATTCTATCTGCCACCGATCCAGTTGATTGAAATTTTCTTCTGATCTGTTCTACTGCTCCTCTACTTACTTCATAATTTTTGGCTATATTCCGTTGGGAAAGACCTTTTTGAATATCTCGCACAATTAAGTTTCGAACTTGTGTGGAAATTGATCTTCCTCCCATTTTTGACCGCGAATTTTTTGTAATAATCGAGATAAGCCAATGTTGCAAAAATGATTAACAACAACGAGAAGTGAGCGCAATAACACGAACATGTTGACATGACAACCAAACAAAATATTGTATATATTAAATCGAACAAATCTGAATGGCTTTTTTATTTTGTCAATATAATAAACAGCAATATTTAAGAAATATAAATAAAACTGAACAGTAAAAAATAATTTATGTGATTGTAACATAAAATTTTAAAATAAATAATAAATGCTTTTTCTTTCATCAATGAAAATCTCATTGTTTTAATATTTTTACTCTTTCATTAAGCAAAACAGTATAACTAGGAAAATGGCTTTTTATTTTTGCCGGTCACTGTATATATATATATATATATATATATATATATATATATATATGTATAATATATACGTATAATATATATGTGGTGTCTGGTAATAATCTAATCACGTCTCATCTGCAGGTAGAGTAATTTTGGATTGAACAAAAATAATTTCTGTACGATTAAACATTGGGATTAATAATTAAACAATCAATACTCAATTAATAATAAAAATTTAATTATGTATTGCGTTTAGCAAATGCGTAACATCTCTTGGAATATTTCTTTTCGTTACGCATTCTCTATTCTCATGTGGATTTTTAATAATTAATTCCTCATTAATTATTTTGAAAATCATACAAAACGGTAGGGAACTTTTTTATTTGATTTGATCCACTCTGCACACGAAAGGTAAATATGATTATTATCAGATCTGTATGTGTATAAGTACATCTATTTTTTGCAATAAATGCTTTTAAGATTTTACATTTTTACTCGAAAATAATAAAAGAATGAATAAATTTAATCTTTTTCTCAAAAATAATAAAAAAAATAAAATTTAAAAAATATCCTCTTAAAGCTGTACAGCTACTAGAAACTAAATATGCAATAAAATTTTTATCAAAAATATTATTTAATTAATAATTCAATATTTAATGTAGAAAATTAATTTTGATTGCTGCGAATTTAAAAAGGGTGTTTTACTTTTAAAATTCTTTATATTACTATTTGTAGATAAATTTACATATTTTTTGAAATATTATATTTTACAATTTATGAATTTGAATAAAAAATTTTCGTATTTGAATATATTTTCTAAAAACCACAAATTAGTTTATCGCAATAATCGCATTAATATGTTTTTTAAACTATTAGCGTATTTTAAACTGCGTATTTCTACTTTGCGCTTTCGTTAAACTTTGTGACATAATGCATATGTAGATTTTATTTTAATTGTAAAATTACACTGATTATACAATCCACACATTTTCCTGTTAAATTTTCCGATTGAAGCTTATATATTGATTTGTCACACAAGTTATACATTCATATCTGATTTATATTACAGTTGAAAAAGACGTTAATAAAACGCGTTTTGTTCCATGATTTGAGTCACTGTAGTAATCAGTTTTGCAAAGTTGTGTTTTTATTAGAATCGCCAAGCACTGCTTTTATAAAAAATTTTTTTAAATTTTTGAATGTGGTGAGTATAAATTCTTCTCTTGTTCTTTTCTGTATATATTCTTTTTCAATTTTTGAGTAAATTATTTCAAAGATTATTTTATTCAAAAAACTTAATATAATTCGACCACACTAGCAATTTATTGGTTAATAATGTGTCAGAACGTTTCGACCATGGGTTTTGGTCCTTATCAAGTTAACTAAAATTCCAAATATAAACAGTAAATAAATTACAATAAGTGTGAACGGAAAGAGAGAAATTATATACATACAGTATCTTAGTAAACTGGCATTATGAGAGAGATTACTGTGTCAGAAAGATTTTTTCCCTGTCATGTCAACCTCTCGATCACTCATGCAAAGAAAGACTAAACGGCTTTTATTTTAGTCTGTCGTGAAGATTGTTTAAATTCTCAGTGTCCTTTTGTAAGTTAATCGTGTTGTCAAATTTCTTAATAAAAAACATTTCAGCAATTTCTCTCTTTCTCACATGTCTTTCATTATGTAGAATAACCGGTTTAGACTAATCGAAGTCGTGACTATGTTCTAATTTATGTTTGCTTATTATCGAAAGATTGCTTTCGTGCAATTTTATGTTGTTAGAATGTTCTTTAATTATTTTATTTTCTGTCTTTCTAATTATACATATATAATTTTGAAATAAAATTTTAATATCTTTTTTCAGATTTATTAGAATTTGTAGAAAATGGATAATAATAAACGATTCAATCCATATATCAGCGTTGATGCGGAGGAAGAAATAGTTATCTCTGGTATCGCTGGACGATTTCCAAATTGTGATAATATGAAAGAATTTCAGGACAATCTGTTAAATAAAATGGATCTTGGTTCGAAAGATCATCGCTGGACCAACTGTAATATTTTTTCTCAAATTTTTTTTCTCTATCTTGGGAAAAAGTTTACACAATAATATATAATAAATTAAATAAATAAGAAAATAAGTTAAAGTATATATATATCGATCTAAGTTTCTTGTAACTCTCTATTTCTATATACAAAAATAAAGAATAATTTAGAAAATAATTAAAATTTTTACATAAAAAATAAATAAAATTGTGGAAAAGTATTGAGGATAAATAATCTTGTTGTGTATAGCGACAGACTCGAGTCTTCTATTGGTTAAATATTTATTATTTAATCTCACTAGACTGCGAATTCTCTGATTAGTTCGACCAATGATAATAAGCCGGGATGTGGCGTTAAAAGTAGTATTCTTTTCTTTTATATATCTTTCTTTTTATATCTTCGCTGCCTATTCTTAAGATTGTACGTTTTTACTTAAAAGAGAGATTAAAAGATTAAAATAAATATATAAGAAACTAACAGATCTATATATAATTATATAAAAAGAAAAAGTTGACTACACATAAGACCTTTTTATTTCTTCAAATCACATTTTTCCTAAAAGAAGGAATGAAAAAATGATTTTTTTAATTATTCATCAATTATTCTTTCTTATTTTTTTTCTGTATATAAGCAGCAGAGTACAAGAGTAAGAAAACATATATATGTATATAGGTATACATACATATATATGATGTAGATATATTTTATACATAATTTTATATATAATTATGTATATGATTATATGTATAAACTTTTTTCCTGGGTAAGAATATCATTATTCTTTATTTAAAAAGATGTTGCATTACATGTTTTAGGAGATATAAATATTTTATCTTTTATATTTAAAAAGATAATATTTTTTTTATATCTCCTAAAACATGTATTAATGATACTCACGAATTTACAATATCTATACGGTTTACTTATAACATTAAAATTGATAATTAATATTCTATATGCAATTTATACTTATATAAATCCATTTTATTATAACATGTTAGAAAGTTTCTTGCATTTAATGTTAAAATGCAACAATAATCAAAAAATGTCGTTTATCCTTAAAAATATCTTGTCCATCTTTAAGAATGCTGTTCTTATTTATGATTTAAATATATTATTTTCATATAAATCGTTTTAAATTTGACAGGTACCTATAAAGTGCCTCCTCGAATAGGAAAAATCAACAATATAGCAAAATTTGATGCAAAATTTTTTAATATGTCGATCGAAGAAGCTCATACCCATGATCCTGGAACTAGAATATTGCTCGAAAACACCTATGCAGCAATCATTGACGCAGGCGTCAATCCTGCAGAACTGCAGGGAACAAGGACGGGAGTTATCACAGCAATGTCCATGTCTGATTCAAGTCTCAAAACAATATACGAAAAGTCTCATGTATGTTAATAATTTTACTATTCCAGACTCATGTATGTCAATAATTTAATTATTCAAAATCGATAAGAAAAATATGTATTCTTAAATCTGTATGAACGTATGTATAAACAAGGATATTGTAAAAAAATATTTTTAATATAAAAACTGTATCGTAATTAGGTTGCTGGATTACCGATACTTGGTTGCAGTAAAAGTATGTTAGCAAATAGAATTTCTTACTGGCTCAACGTTACTGGACCATCGTATAATGTTGATACTGCATGTAGCTCGAGCCATTTCGCTATGGTGGAAGCTTACAATTTGATTCGATCTGAATATTGCGATGCAGCTATTGTCGCTAGTGTCAATTTGTGCATTTATCCTCAAGTAACTCAACAGTTTTATCTTCTGGGTATATCAAAAATAATATTACTATGATCAAAGATGTTGTATTCGAGAGTGTTAAATGGTTCAAGTTATTTATTGATGCATTAATTAATACAATATATTCGATCTAATAGTTTCTCTTTTCAAAATATACCAATATAACTGATTCGCTTATTTAACATATTTATCAAACTTTTCAAATATCTGAGAAATTAAATAAGACACCGAGAATAAAAAAGTAAATTACATTTTTCATATTCAATCGAATAAATTATTAATATTATTTTAGGAGTTTTATCCGCCCATGGCTACTGTAAACCTTACGATGAAGAAGGTACCGGTTACATGCGTAGCGGCTACAGTAATGTTCTTGCAAAAAGCAAAGGATGCAAGAAGAATCTATGCGACTTTTATTTATGGTAAAGTCAATTGCGATGGTTTTAAGGAAGAAGGAATTACTTTTCCATCATTGGATAAACAAAAATTATTATTGGAAGAATTTTACAAAGAATGTAACGTTTCGCCTCGTGAGCTGTCTTACCTAGAAGCTCATGCAACTGGCACTGTAGCCGGCGATCCCATAGAGCTTCAAGCAGTCGACGAAGCTTTATGCATCAAAAGAGATTTTCCTCTATTAATGGGTTCAGTAAAATCGAATATTGGACATTCTGAACCCGTTAGCGGCCATTGCCAAATTGCAAAGGTAAATTTACAACAAAGGTTTACAAAATGGAGTTGAAACATCTATGTAATTTAATGCTACATGTAAACTTATGTATTTTTTCTATCTGTAATTTTTGATTATTCATTATAATTATTATTTATTGATTATTTATTATAATTATAAAACTAAGATATTATTATATATGTGTATTATAATAAATATATTTCCTTTGTAAAGGTTTTAATAGCGATGGAAACTGGTATAATTCCTCCTACTATACATTTAAAACATCCACGAAAGAATATGACTGCTATCATTGAAGGAAGAGTAAAAATAGTTACTGAACCGACAGAATGGAAGGGTGGCTACGTCGGTATTAATTCTTTCGGATTTGGTGGTGCTAATTCCCATATATTATTGAAATCAAATCCGAAAATTAAAGTTAATGAAACAAATAATAATTTACCTAAGCTTGTAGTTATATCTGGACATACCGAAGAAGCAGTTAAAATCATGTTAAATGACGTAAGTATATATTACTACAAAATAATTTAATACAAAAAATAAAAAATATATTAGTACGAAATAAAAGGTAAAAATGATTTAAAAAATTCTTTATATAAAGAATTTAAAAAAATCATCGTTAATATAATAAGTAAATTATATTTAATTAAAGTATATTAATCACGTATTAAAATACTAATTTTAATAATGAGATCTAAATATAAAAGTTATATAGATAGTTTTAAATTGGTTTTAGTCAATAAAAACGCGGAAAAAGAGTAGAATATTATATGAACAAGTCAATTGTAAGATATATTAAAATCGATTCTTCTCGAAATGCATCTTTTAATATATCTAGTTGGATAAAGTGACTACATAATTTTCAACATGACAATAAAATAAATTATAGAATATTTAAAAGCACTAAGATTTTTCAAAATTAAATATATAAAACATTTGCTTAACTAACAATAAATTAATTATAATTAACTTTAAAGAAGAATAATCTATTAAAATGCTATAAGATAATTATACTTTTACAATTATATTATATTATAATTAATATATCTTTATAGATACAGAATCGGGCAGTAGATGTAGAATATATATCTCTTCTGCATCATATTCATAACAGCAATACAAAAGATCATCTCTACAGAGGATATATAATTGCTGGATCCAAAATAACTGATAAAGCAATAATTAAAAGGAGACGCAACTTATATACGAAAAAACCGATTTGCTTTATATTTTCTGGAATTGGATCTCAGTGTCTTAACATGGGCAAGTATAAATCAAATATATACAATATTGTTACGCCCAGGGCGAGGGCTTCGAGTTATATCGAAGCGCGGATTAGCGGACCACTGGCACTCTCAGACCGCGAGTAATAATAAGACACTTTTAGAGAACATAAGAACTTTAATGCGAAACACAGAACACACATGAACAACAGATTAATAACAAAACTTAGTAATGGCTCGTATAAAACACGTGCGGATAGCTATCTTCCGACTCAGCTGACCATTGTTGTTTTTAAACAATCTTCTTGACTACGGGATCCAGACAACGGAAGAGTCGTAGCGACGCGAGCGCGCAACAATATAATAATTATTATTAAGTTTATTTGCAATTAACATTTAACGATTTTCAAATTATACATACATATACATTCTTATATACAATAAAAAATTAACAATTATAATATTTTTAGTTTGTAAAATTTTATTAAAAATAATTGCTTAAGTTACATTTAGATGTAAAAAGTCTATTCTTTGATACGAAGTAAACTATTGTAAAATATAATAATGATATAGAACTACTATAGAAAGCGTGTGCAAAACATAGGTAAACTGTTTCTAGGAATTTCATTTACGTATATATATATATACAGGGTGTCCGTCGATTTTTGACCTTAATGAAATAAATAAGTAGATTGGCTCGAATTAAGAAGGAATGACCTGTATTGTTTTGGGATTGTCGCAATAATTAACGAAATATTAAATAAAAAAGATCGGCCAATCTGCGTGAGTAAAAGCGCGCGGCGACGAGAATCGTCCCACCGTAATCCGATACTACGAGCGCGGCGAAGTGGTGGGCGGGTCGCTCTCCGAGACATGATGGTGGTTTGCGATATATTGCAATACCGCGCCGAAAAATGACCCGTCTCCCCTTTTCGTGGCGAGAAAATGATGCGCTATCATTTCCACACTACCTTGTGGAAGATAGCATGGTGCGCTTTTTTTATAGTGGTTTCCCCCATAGGCCTATTCCACTCTCAATTTAAAAATTATTCAAAATGCCATTTACTGTACGCTGAATATATCGTAAAAAATTAATGGACAGTACCTCTACAAAAATTGATTCGTGATTGAAAATCCCTCGATAAAATGTATTGCACACGTTGATAATGTGATACGATGATAAAATTCTTCAAGAATCCTTTCTTCATCTCGTACACGAAGACGCACTGCTGGACCGGTTATCCCGATATTATGCATGACACTCAGTTTCACATAATTATTGCACAACACGTAAAATTGTACGGCCACTTGGTTTTCGTGCACGCCCGAGAAATGATTCCATGTAAATTGCGGCCGCACGATAAGTATTTTCTCCCGCTAGTCCGTATGCCACAATCATATCCGTATATTCCTGCAGAGTACACTTCATTTTCTCTGTTAATTTACTACGCAAACACAAGATTTTTATTAAAACGTCTTAGCTCTCGCACGCTGTTACCAGACTGCGTACGCCAGCAGCACGCAACTACAGCTGACAGCTGAGCGGACTGTGAGTGTAATCATAGTGCGCAGGCGTCGAACTCACACTACGCTTACACTCACAGTCCGCTCAGCTGTCAGCTGTAGTTGCGTGCTGCTGGCGTACGCAGTCTGGTAACAGCGTGCGAGAGCCAAGACGTTTTAATAAAAATCTTGTGTTTGCGTAGTAAATTAACAGAGAAAATGAAGTGTACTCTGCAGGAATATACGGATATGATTGTGGCATACGGACTAGCGGGAGAAAATACTTATCGTGCGGCCGCAATTTACATGGAATCATTTCTCGGGCGTGCACGAAAACCAAGTGGCCGTACAATTTTACGTGTTGTGCAATAATTATGTGAAACTGAGTGTCGTGCATAATATCGGGATAACCGGTCCAGCAGTGCGTCTTCGTGTACGAGATGAAGAAAGGATTCTTGAAGAATTTTATCATCGTATCACATTATCAACGTGTGCAATACATTTTATCGAGGGATTTTCAATCACGAATCAATTTTTGTAGAGGTACTGTCCATTAATTTTTTACATTTACGATATATTCAGCGTATAGTAAATGGCATTTTGAATAATTTTTAAATTGAGAGTGGAATAGGCCTATGGGGGAAACCACTATAAAAAAAAGCGCACCATGCTATCTACCGCAAGGTGGTGTGGAAATGATAGCGCATCATTTTCTCGCCACGAAAAGGGGGGACGGGTCATTTTTCGGCGCGGTATTGCGATATATCGCAAACCACCATCATGTCTCGGAGAGCGACCCGCCCACCGCTTCGCCGCGCTCGTAGTATCAGATTACGGTGGGACGACTCTCGTCGCCGGGCGCTTTTATTCACGCAGATTGGCCGATCTGTTTTATTTAATATTTCGTTAATTATTGCGACAATCCCAAAACAATACAGGTCATTCCTTCTTAATTCGAGCCAATCTACTTATTTATTTCATTTTGGTCGAAAATCTACGGACACCCTGTATATATATATATATATATATAATAATATATATATAATAATATATATAATAATATATACATATATATAATATATATATATATATGTATAACCTATATATATATATATATATATGTATATATTATTATATAATATATATAATAATATATACATATACATATATATATATATATATATACAGGGTGGGGCATTTATCTTGAGACAAGATAATATCTCGATTGGAGTCGATTATTTTGAAAAAAGTTTTAGACAGAAGTTGTATGGTTTCAAAGGGGACATAAGATGGTGTCATTAGTTTGATCTTGAAGAGCCACCTGAAGAACACGCGAAGGTCAGCTCCAACTTTTTAAATGGGACACCCTATATGCTTTTGCATATTCTTGTAGTTCATCTCAAGAGCTTTCCAAAACACTATAATTAAATTAGTTTTCATTAAGTATTTTCCAAGTTATGAGGCTTGAAATCATTTTTTAATTTTACATAAACCGTAAAATATCTTGTAAAATATTCATTTTTCGATTATTTTACCTTAATACTTTTATGTACAAAATAATTAGAAAAATCAATTGGTGTAAAGAAAACTCATAGTTGTTTCGAAAAAAAAAATGTAATTTGCAATTAACAATTACATATTTTTTCTTAAAAATAACTATGTCTTTTCTTTACACCAATTGATTCCTCTCCTTATTTTATACATAAAAGTATTAAGATAGGGTAAAAGAAAAATGAATATTTTACAAGATATTTTACGGTTTATGTAAAATTAAAAAATGATTTCAAGCCTCATAACTTGGAAAGTACTTAATGAAAACTAACTTAATTATAGTGTTTTGGAAAGCTCTTGAGATGAGCTACAAGAATATGCAAAAGCATATAGGGTGTCCCATTTAAAAAGTTGGAGCTGACCTTCGCGTGTCCTTCAGATGGCTCTTTAAGATCAAACTAATAACACCATCTTATGTCCCCCTTGAAACCATACAACTTTTGTCTAAAACTTTTTTCAAAATAATCGACTCCAATTGAGATATTATCTTGTCTCAAGATAAATGCCCCACCCTGTATATATATATATATATATATATATATATATATATATATGTATATATTATTTATACAGGATGTCTGAAAACTTTTGGTGGTCCCGAAGTGTAAAGATAGATTGGCTCAAATTAAGAAGAAAGGCCCTCTACTGTTTGGCGATATTTGCAATAAATAACGAAAAATTACTTAAAGAAAATTGGCCAATGCGCGTGCCTAGAAGCGCGCGGCGGCGAAGGCGGTCTCACTATAACATAATGGCGGCGCGCGGTGAAGCGATGATTGAGGAGAAGCCTTCGCCGCGCGCTTACACAATCATCGCTCCTTTGAGATCGCAAAAAGTTTTCAGACACCCTGTATAAAAATATTACATTATTTAAAATAATTTATCGACAACGTTATTTAATATATAATTATGTTCTTTCAAATATTGATACATATATGTATATAGGTCGAGCTTTAATGGAATTTCCAGTATTCGCTAAATCAATCCAAAAATGCGATACTGTTTTGAAACCTTATAAGATATTTGTCACAGAGATTCTATTAAATAACGACAATATGCTTGATAACGTAGTCAATTTATTTGTAAGCCTTATTGGATTACAGGTACGAACAAAAATATATCGTCTATATATTGCGGAATTTTTTTGTATTATCTAATGAAACGCCGTATCTTTAAAATGATCAGTATTTCATAAAAAACTCAAAATTCTTGTAAAAGAATTGAAATTAAAAAGAGCCTTTCATATGTTACATAATTGTATGCAGAAAGTTAAATTTATAGTAATATTTTAAAATATTATTTTATTTAAAAGAAAAATAGAAAGTGTTAAAATATATAAAAAAAAAATTACATATATTACAGATCGGAATAGTTGATCTTTTAAGAAGTATTGGTATCACTCCTGATGTAATAATGGGTCATTCCATTGGCGAATTGGTTTGTGGATATGCCGATGGATGCTTGACGGCCGAAAAAACCATCATGTTGGCTTATTATGTCGGTTTAGCATTTCTTGAGTCAAAAATAAAAGGTGGCTTGATGGCTGAAATTAATTTAGATTTAGAAATTAATTTAGAAACTATAAAGGATATGTGTCCATCGGATATCGATGTAGCTTGTTGTAATAGTTCGCATAATTATATTGTGAGTGGACCAACAAGCTCTATAAGAGCATTCCTCGCTAAACTACAGGTTCGGAAAGACTTAAAAAGTACAAATAATATATCTATGTTCATAATTAGGTTGAATTAAATAAAAAATGAATTTATTAAAAGAAATTTATTTCTATTTAGAATGACAACATTTCTGTAAAAGAAATTTCCTTTGGACATATACCTTTTCATAGTCGTTACGTCGAGCCTGCGAGAGTTAAACTTTTGGATTACCTGAATAAGATATTGCCTCAGGAAGCCTCTCCGAGCTCAAAGTGGTTGAACATGTTGGACAAATCCTATGAATGGTTCAGCATATCTCCAAATATTTCGTATCTAGCAAAATATTATACAAATAGCCTATTAACTTCAGTAGAATTTTCAGAAGCTATGCGTTTTATTCCAAATGACGCGGTGACGATTGAGATAGCGCCGCACGACATTCTACAATACATTCTTAATGATTCATTAAATGCAACTGTGACAAATGTCGCGTTATACGAATTTTCTCACAAACCAAACGTTGAGATATTCTTACACGCAATTGGAAAACTTTATAATGCAGGATTACAGCTACAAATTGCAAATTTATATCCACAAGTTAAGTTTCCTGTGAGTCGTAATACACCGATGATTTCTCATCTTATAAGGTAAATTTTGCTTAATATAACATAAGATCCTTCAACGTTATATTTATTACCAAAAAAATAGCAGAATTTAAAAAGACGGAAAATTAATTTGCATTATTTTTAACGACGTTAAACGCTAATAAGGCTAATATTTATATATTTTTAAATTAATAACACGTTTTACAGATGGGATCATTCCGAAGATTGGTATGTATGTCATTATTTCAGACAAACAAAACTTGATATTGGGGAAGTAATTGTTACCATTAATTTACTCGAGGAAGAATTTTCATATTTGACTGGGCATGTCGTTAATAAAAAAAATTTATTACCGGCTACAGGATATCTTTTTCTGATATGGCAAATGATTGGCTGGTTAGAAAAGCAAAATTATCTCGATGTACCAATTGTATTTGAAAATGTCAATTTTTTACGTTCTACAGTCGAAACAAAATCCAATCGATTTAACTCTTATGATACAAAAAGGTAACTTGTACAATTAAAATAATTTTATGATATAGATATATAAAAAGATAAAAATTTTTTAAGACAAAATGTGAATAAGCAAAAAAATTCAATTGAAAAAAATAAATTAAGAAAAGATTTGTATCTAATAAACAAACTATTAACAGTTTGCCAATGAAGTAGCAGCAAATTCGAGCAAAAATTGCAATATATTACTGCATTAAGTTTGTTTCTGCTGAAAAAGTAAACATAATCAAGAAATTTTAATTTCTGCTAACAGTTTACAGTAAAAAATATATTGTTAATTTTGTTGATTTATTTAATTTTTATACATATCATTTTTATTTATATTTTTGCTATTTTAATTAATATATTGTTAAAAATCTATGCTTGAAAGATTGCAATTTAAAGATACCATAGCTAAGTTAATTTTCTAATTCATTAAAATTATTGGTTACCCAATATAACTAAGTTTCTTATGCAAATGCATATCAGAAGTAGCATTTATCTGACCAATAATAATGCTATGGGAACTTTTTCATTAAAATGAAAATTTATTTTTATTTATTTAATTTGCAAATTGTGTACTATGATTGGTATTTCTTTTCTACGATTGAAGGCTGGCTGGAATTTATTTTTTGTTAAAAACATCCTCTCATTATAACACATAGTATAGAATTTCGTTATAAAACATGGAGTACAATTTCCGTTTATAAATTAAATATTTATACAAGAAATTGATAATTGTACTCTTATAGATAGTTGCAAATTTGAAATAATCGAAGGAGAGAGTGCTGTCGTCACTGGAACAGTACGAATTCCAGTCAATATTGAAGACGAAAAAATATGTAGCACATTTGTTGATCGAAATGACAATGACAAAGAGGAGATGAATACAAAAGATATTTACAAAGAATTGAAACTTCATGGTTATCAATATACCGGCGAATTTTGTGGATTAAGAAGCGCGTCAATCACAGGAAAGAATGGTCATATTGCCTGGAATGACAATTGGATAACGTTTATGGACAATATCTTACAGTTGATGATTTTAGGGCAGGATTCGAGAAGCCTTTTTGTACCAACAAAAATTCATAAAGCGGTAATCGATCCAAAATCTCACATAAAATATATTGAAAAACTTTCAAATGAAAAAAAACGTAAGTATTACAGTATTATGAACTATATACGTATTTAATTGAATATTATTTTTCGAAAAATATATACTTGATATGCTATTGTCTTTATATCCGCAGAAGTCCTTGTACAAAATTATAAGCACTTAGATGTTTTGATATCTGGAGGAATAGAAATACACGGTCTCGTAGCTACAGCTATATCTCGTCGACAAAATGTAGCCAATCCCGTTTTTGAAGAATACAAGTTTGTTGCTCATCGAGATTTCAATGTGACATCTTTGCAAGATGCAATAAGAATGTCGGTGCACGTTGCACTTGAGTGCCATAACCTGATAAACGTAAAAATCATTGAATTTATCGAAAGTAGCGACGAAATGATGCCGGAGAATTTAAATTCTTTACATGTTTATAAAATTTTAGACGACTTACCGCAAATATGTTACAATATCAAAATAGTAACGAGTAACGAACGATTCAAAGATATTTCTTTGCCCGACAGTATTTCTATAATAGAATTTGATAAATTGACAAAAAATGAAAATTGTTTGATGATCATAGGTTTCGGAATTTTAACAAAAAATAGAAATGATTTATACGAACAATTATTGTCTGCCGTAATGCCAATGGGATTTCTTCTGACATTGGAAGAGTTAGATGTTATTCACGATTATTCATGTCTGGACAATTATGGATTAAAAGTAATTTTGGAAAAATGCACCAACGATAAGAAAATTATATTATTAAGAAAAATACAAGATTTTAAGACGATTCAGCAGATTGTGTATGTAAACAATCGCGAATTCTCATGGGTAAATAAAATTAAATCAATCATGAACGTGGAAAATGACAACATAAATACGAGGATTATAATCGTCGCAGAAGGAGACTTCGAATGCGGTCTGCTCGGTTTTGTCAATTGTTTGCGAAAAGAATCGGATGGGGAAATGATTAGAAGTGTATTTATTCAAGATGAAAATGCACTTGCTTTTTCATTGCAAGAATCGTTATACATGACGCAGCTACAGCTGGATTTACCCATCAATGTTATACGTTCCGGTATTTGGGGATCTTACAGACATTTTCCATTACCATTATTAGAACCAAAACTCGTAGAGAGTGCTTATGTTTCTCAAATGGTACGATTTGAAGAAGATTCGGATTATTATATTTAGGAAAATAGTGATAATTCCCTTAATAAATTAAGAAATAATTTTTTTTACTTTAATTTTAAGAAGTTTAAAATAACTTGTTATATTTACTTATTTCAGGTGCGAGGTGATCTGAGTACTCTTTGTTGGATGCAAAGTAGGATATCTTTCGTCAACAATAATGAAGAAAATCTAGTAAGAGTAGTCTATGCATCTATCAATTTTAGAGATGTCATGATAGCTAGCGGTAGACTCACCATTGAATCTATTACAACCGAACGAAATAATAATTCTTTAATTGGAATGGAATTTGCTGGTTTTAATAAAACTGGGAAAAGAATAATGGGATTATGTTCAACAGGGTAAGTGAATATTAGAGAAAAACTTGATAAAATCTTAATATGTATGTGAATAGAATCTTATAATAATATGTGTATATTCTTAATAAAAATAAACGAATACTCTAAACGTATATTCTTAATAAAATAAATTTTGTATATTTAAATTAGAAACGTTTTCGATGAAGTAAAAAATGAGAAAATTGCTATACTTATATGCTTCTTTTCATTCTTTACCTAATCTTTACATATTATTCACAAAAAATATTTAAAAAATATTTTTTTTACTTAATTTTAACATAATATATTTTTATATGATTTTCTAAATTATATTATTTTCAGAGGAATGACAAATATTCTCATAACTGACAAATATCTTAGTTGGATCATACCTGACATGTGGACGATGGAAGACGCTGCGACGGTTCCTTGTGTATATAGCACGTGTTATTACGCTTTGTATTTGACTGGTAAAATGAAAAAAGATGATAAAGTGTTGATTCACTCTGGTACGGGAGGTGTTGGTCAAGCTGCTATTCATCTTGCCATTTACGAGGGTTGCGAAGTGTTTACGACGGTTGGGAGTATCGAGAAACGAGATTTTATAAGAAAAACGTTTCCCTCTATTCCCGAGGATCACATCGGAAACTCTCGTGATACGAGCTTTGAACAAATGATTATTCAGGGAACGAAAGGTCGCGGAGTAAATATCGTATTAAATTCTTTAGCTGAAGAGAAACTGCAAGCGTCTGTCCGTTGCTTAGCAAAGGGTGGTCGTTTTCTCGAGATTGGAAAGTTTGATATGGTTTCCAATAATCCTCTAGAAATATTTGCATTTTCAAAAGGTATTAGTTTTCATGGCATTTTATTGGATAAGTTATTTTCTGCAGAACCAGAGAGTAAAGCAATAATGTGGAATAAATTAAAAGAAGGCTTCAAGAATGGCGCCATCAAACCGTTATGCAGAAAAGTTTTTGAAAAGCATGAAATAGAAACTGCGTTTAGATATATGGCTGCTGGAAAGCATATTGGAAAGGTATGATCATTTTTAGTGCACGTACAATAAAGAAAATATAATTAAAATTGAAATATTAAATTTTCAAAAAAATGCATACAATTTTTGTTTTTATTGTATTATCTTTAATATTAGAATTATTTAATATAAATTATATCATATTTAATATAAATCAAAATCTCTCTTGTTTCCTGTTTATATTTTGAAACGCAAATATTTCTATGCTAAGAATATTTCTGTCTATTTTCCTTAAATTAAAACTTAATATTGAAAGTTGGGACGTAAACATTTCACTGTAAATATTTTAATCAAGAGATTTTAAAATTAAACAGCTTTTTTTGGTGTATTATATCTTCTTAACTATGTATTATAATATGTAAAAGTTATCCATTGTGCTTCTTTTCTCTTTACGTTTATTTGGAAAAACTCTCCTTCTTTTAAAGGTTTTCTTATCGATTCTTTTAAATTTTTTTCTATTTTTTTTTATTGTACAATTACATTTTATTTCACAATTTATTCATTCTCAGGTTTTTATCTGTAATCTTCGTTTTTTCTAATAGCTTCTCATCTTTTATATATTCTTCTTATTTCCTTTTCCTGACAGTTTAAAATATAATATAATATTATTTACAGATAATGATAAAAGTTCAAAGAGAAAATGAACTGGATGCAGCTATACTTGCATATCCCCGGTACTATTGCCTGGAACACAAATGCTATATCGTTATAGGTGGTCTGGGAGGTTTTGGTCTAGAATTAACTGATTGGTTAATTTTACGTGGCGCAAGAAACTTAGTATTGACTTCGCGAACTGGAATAAAAAACGGTTATCAGCAATCAAGAATAACATTATGGCAATCTTACGGTGTGAATGTGCAAATCGTTACAGCTGCTGATACTTCGAAATACGAAGACTGTAAATTTATATTGAAATTTGCCGAAGAACAAGGTCCTGTGGATGCTATATTCAATCTCGCAGTTGTGTTGAAAGATGACATATTAAAGAATCAGTCCTCACAAGCATTCAAAGATTCTTTTATATCAAAGGCATGGACGACGAAAAGGATGGACAAATTATCGAGAACAATTTGTCCCAAGCTCCGACATTTTGTCGTTTTTTCTTCCGTTTCATGCGGAAGAGGTAACGCGGGCCAAACAAATTACGGAATGGCAAATTCCGTAATGGAAAGAATTTGTGAAAGAAGAATGAAAGATGATTTACATGGTTTGGCTATACAGTGGGGCGCGATTGGTGATGTTGGACTTGTCGCAGATATGCAAGAAGACGATAAAGAACTTGTTATTGGTGGTACATTGCAACAAGGAATATCCTCCTGCTTGGACACATTAGAAGTGTTCTTGCTACAAGAGCGGCCAATCGTAAGCAGCATGGTTGTTGCTGAGAAAAAAAAAAGGTTCTGGCGAAGCAACGAATCCATTTAAAGCAGTTGTAAACATTATGGGTAAATTCATTAAGTATATATCATTTAAAAGATTGACTTATACAAAATAAGTTTTTATTACAAAAAATATAAATTTTAATAATTCTTATATTGCAGTTTCAAGATTAGATAAGATCCGATTAAAATCATGTGTAAATATTTAATTCTTTCTCTAATTTTTAAAATAGGATTAAAGAATCCAAACATGGCGGCGCCAAATATGTCACTGGCTGAACTAGGCATGGATTCAATGATGGCAGTGGAGATTAAACAGACATTGGAGAGGGAATTCGATATTTTTATTGACGGCACAAGATATTCGAAATCTCACTTTTGCAAAACTTAGAAAATTAACAAATACAACTGAACAAGAAAGATGTACCAAGAAGATGTAACAGAAGCTAATGTAAATGATTTGGATAGTTTAAAAATATTGACTCGAAAACTTAACGATTCAGACTTGAGTCCAGACATTTGTGTAAAACTCGCTACAGAGAGGAAAGTTGCTGGGAGTGAAATATTTCTTATACCAGGAATCGACGGGTGTGCAAGTGTATATAAACTAATAGGATCGAAAATTAAATCTTCGGCGATATGTTTGCAACATGGTGTACTTAATATGCCAGGTGTTACTTCGTCAGTAATGAAATCAGCAGCATATCTTCTGCCTGTACGAAATTATACTATAATCTGTTTGAAATCATTATTTAAATAGTATAAACTGTTATGCACTTAATTTGATTATATATACGCATACGCGCATACATACGCGCCATTTTTACATATAGTTTTCTATATGTTTGCTTATTTTTCCAGCACGTATTGGAGAAAATACAAAGTGGAAAAGAATTTCTAATTATCGGTTATTCATTTGGATCTTTAATTGCCATTGAATTAGCGAGATTATTAGAAGCTGAGAATTTCTCTGGACGTTTAATACTTATAGATGGAGCTCCTGATCAAATAAAATTCTTGCTTAAGAAATTTTTTTATCATACTATAGAACAAGAGATACAAAATAATGTTTTACTTTTTTAATCCAATTGTATCTTGATTCTAACATTAAAACGGTTAGTCAATTATTAAAAATATATATGTATAATTAATAGGATAGTATATAGTTAATAGAATAAGAGGACAAATTTTGAAATAATTTGTTAGAATGTGCTTTAAAATTATAAAATAAGCTAAATTTTTTATTAGATTATTTTATTATATTATTTTATATAATTTAAATTACAAAGGTTTTGTAAAGTTTCTTTAACGTGATTTAGATTATATGAAATAACATAATATAATATAAGTATATTATTTTATCTCAGTTTAAAGTGCAGATTGTCATTTTGTTGTATTTATGCAATATTATTATTTACAGCTTGCATTAAGAAACTAAATAAGTGCAATACGTGGGAAGAGAATTAGAATTAGTTTCTGCTTGCTTTTCCAAGGATATCATTGAATTAACGGTTGAAAATCATAAACTTTTAGTTCAACGATTTACGATCATATAATCGCTATACAAGATTATAATATAACATCATTGCCACGTCTGAAATCATCTATAATCTTATTAAAACCCACACGTGCGCCTATCATTGTTCCTGAAGAAGATTATGGTCTACGTAAAGTGAATTTGATTATAGAGCGTAATATTTTGTCATTTTTAAGATTATTTTTATAAATAAAAATATTTTTAGGTTACCAAAAGTGCAGTACAAATACATTACGTGGAAGGTACTCATATCACAATAATGAACAATGACGAAGTAGTATCACTTATTAACAAAGCATTATATAATTATAAGAAGTAATTAAAAACGACACACTGGCAAATTTTATTAAAGTGAATCACGACGTTTCGACCATGGTTTTGGTCCTTTTCGAGTGAACTATAACAAATTATTTCCAATATTACACAAAAAATAAATTACATTGATTTTGAAATAAAAAATGCGCGGCAAGTTAAATACATACAATAATTTAGTTAACTATTCTATCGTGAGAAATAAGGAAATCACTTCGTCAAGATTGTCATGTCAACCGTCTCCATCAACATACAGAGAAAGACTAAACAACCTTTATTAGTCTATCATAAATATTGTTTAAATTTGCTATGTACAAAAAAGATTATATTTTTTAAAACACCGTGATAACGCAAATATGGACAATGAATCCGACAATGCAGTTACATCCTCGTACATCTCCTTGCTGTTTGTGGAGGGCTTGAGTAGTGAAATTGGTCGCGTTTTTAAAAATGTAGGTCTTAATGTCGTCTACAATGTGCCTAAAAAACTCAAAGCATTAATTAAACGTGATAAAGACAGGCTGCCTACTAATAACAGGACGGAAGTCGTTTACAAATTAGACTGCAAAAATTGTAACAAGTCATATTGGCCAAACAAAAAAGAATGTAAGCATTCGTGTAAAAGAACATCGTAACAACATAAAAGTGCACGAAAGTAATTTTTCTGTTATCAGTAAACATCAAGTTAAATTTAATCAAGACTTCGATGGTCATTACCAGTTATTTTACATAATGAGAAACACGTGAAAAAGAGAGAAATCGCGGAAATGTTTTTTATAAAAAAAGTCTGACAACACGATCAACTTACAAAAGGACACTGAAAATTTAAACAATATTTATATTTATTTTTTGTGTAATATTGGAAATAATTTGTTGTAGTTCACTCGAAAAGGACCAAAACCATGGTCGAAACGTCGTGATTCACTTTAATAAAATTTGCCAGTGTGGTCGTTTTTAATTACTTCTTGTATTTTATTTACTGACGACCTTCAAGAGTTTAATTATTATTATAAATTATAAAAATATGAAGAAAAGAGAACTGTACGCGTTTTCTCTACAATGATTCTAACAATAAAAGGAAATAAAGATAAACCTAAACCAATAACAAACAATAATGTTGCTTAATTTATGTCTTCATTCCATATGTTAAGATTCAGCTAATTTTATTATTTAATTTGCACTCTCTATTATTTAACCTGTCACTACTCAAAATACGGTTAAATTATACATGTCACTAATGTCATATGCTATTAAAATCACAGAGTGTCACTAATGCATCTTCTGTCGAGAAGAGAAACTGTATTTTTCTTTTTTCGTATTGTGTAGATGTGCAGTGATGACGGTGATGCTAAAGATCTTTTTTAAATAAAATTTCTATATTTCAAGTTTGCATCATTCATTAGATCACGCAGAACAAAATAAATTTTCTTTATGCAATTCAAACTAAGTCTATCGATTAAGTCCGATTAAGAGTCATCAAATTATCGAATCTTAATAACGATTGAATGGGCTGAATTCTTAAGCTTAATTGATAGAGAGAGTTTAAATTGTATAAAAAAAGTATCTTTATTTTTGTTCTGCGTGATTTATAAACGGGAGATATCATGATGCAAAGTCGAAATATAGAAATTTTTATTTAGAAAGAGCTTTATCTCCACCGTCATCAACGCACATCTACACAATACAAATAAAAACGTACAGTTTTTCTCTCATAGAAAATTGCGTTAGCTTATACTCTGGAGATTTTAATGGACATGTTGACATAATGAATGTAATAATTTAACCGCATTTTGAGTAGTGAAAAATTAA